GAAGATTATTGAGCTCAGCCTCTCGATTTTGCCCATCTTCAATTTGACGTTGCAGCTTTTCTAGGACCACTCGACTTTCTTCGCACTGCTTGCTCTGTTTTTCCATTTTGTCTATTTGTCGCTGCTCGTACAAACCAAGCTGCTGGACTTGGCTGGATAAGGTGTCTTCCTTTTCAATAAGTATTTGCATATCCTGCTTCTTCGCGTCGAGCACTGCTTGCTCCTCTTCAATCTGATTCTTGATAACGTCCAACTTTACTTGCTCTCGAGCTACAGTATCTCTTAGACCGTTGAGCTCGCCTAGAGCTTTGGCCAACTCGGTGCTCATGCTTGGCTGACTCTCGTCTGCCCTCGTAACAGACGGTGGCGAGAGCTCAATCAGCTCGCCGACGAACCCCGAACCGAATTCAAAATTTTGAGCTTCGTGTGGCTGCATCCGTGCGCTCTGGGGTCGGCTGGAATCTTGACCTTTCCGAACAGGAACCGGAGAAGTCGGTAAAGACTCCTCACAGAGCTCCATGTCGTGGTCGTTATCTATCCTCTTCGTGTGCGCGGCAATTAGAGCTGGCTCTTCCGGCATTCGAAGCTCAGGAAGTTCGGGAAAATCCCCAAAAAATGCTAAGTATACCGACGTCCTCACAAAAAATGACGAAACGTGGTTCATTATCGAACCCGCGGAAGCAGCCTTCATCTGCGGTAAGAAGAGCAGCGACTTGTCCCGCGTATGATCAGTCGCCTCAGGCAAGCCGTACCTTGTCGGTGGCAGCCTTGGTTCTGCTGCGTGCTGCTGTTCTAGCAGCGGCTTGGTAGACACTGGTTGAGCGGCGGCAAACATGTTGACCATCTGTGTGATCAGTTGCGGTTTATTGCCGTATTCGTAAGCTTCCGGCTTCCGAGCAGCGTCAAGCGCACGCTCGGCAATGTCACAATCTATTGACCGAGACAAGATCTTGTCAATTTTCACCGTTTGGAAGCCTAGCTGCAAAGCAAAAACTGCGAAGTCATATAAAACTTGTTCATCGAACTTAGTTCGAGACTTGGCGAGAAGATTCTTTTTCCGCGAAATCGGTGGTAGATTCTCGTATTCGCGGAAAGCATATAGCCATAATTGTCGGGCCCCTAGGGCTTTCCTAGTGGTTTCATTTCCTGGAATGGTAGTAAAATGGTAGTCTGACCACTGGATAGTGCATGGTTCCATTGTGGAATCATTTGCGGAGTTCTGAAATGCGGAAGAAAGCGCACCCGCGACACCGATTCGCCCATTAACATCCAAGATGTAACGCATACTCTCGGAGACTCTGTGCAAAAATTTTCGGTCTTCGAAAAAAGTGAAGAGCGACGGTATCAGGCCGACCCTCGAGTTCTCTAGGGTTCTGTCCCAAAAGCCGTCCCGATGCTGCTCGGGGATGTTACTGAAGAGCTCTCGGTTGCGAAAGCAGACCAACAAGGTATCACGATCGTGCTTAGAAGCACCGGGAGCCTTGCCCTGCAACATCTCGATGGTATGTCTGTCTATGCGTTGCATGGAATCGAAGTTCCCTTCACATAGTTTAAACCACCAGATCCATGTGTGCGCCAGGTAGTTTAGGATTGGCTGCTAATGTTAGCGGTGTATGCGAGGAAGATGCTGTCAAATACCTCATCGCATTGCATAGACATTATCTCATGCAGAACAGTTATCCGCAGGTCAGTCAGGAGAGCAGGCATCTGTAGGAATTTGTCAAACGCTGCAAGGTACTCTGCATGACCTAGCAGCTGCTGAAACTTCTCCCGGCGACTCTTGGACACAGTCAAACGGCCATACCATAACTTTTCAAAGAAACTGTTCGCTGTGCCGCATATACCCTGGTATTCTCGGATCTTGTAGTAAATTTCGCCATCGCACGGCTTTCTCTGATGTTTATAGTCGTCGGTGAGCATTTGTTTCAAGTCGTCGCTTAAATCTACGATCCAGTTACCAGACTGTAAGCAAAAGCGTTTCAGGGAGTACAAACGTACCATCCAGGTAAAGATCAACTATCCATCGTTGATCAGATCCTTTAAAAACATCATTTGCCGCGGCTAAACGATCGTGGCCCTGGAGACACTCTAGGGAAACCCCGACTGGTAGCTCCAGTTGCGGATATGGCAGTATATTTCTCATTAGGCTTGAACCATCTATATTGCAACTCGCAAGGGCTGTTTCCAAGACTTGCGGGTTGATGATTGCTGTAATATGGTTTTGAGCATCCTCCTGACGCAGCCCATCTTCCTCGCGAAAAATCCGTGCAAGTACAGCAGTATTTCTAGCCGCCTCGTCTCCAAATCGTAGATTTTTTTGATGACTAAAGCTAAGAGAGTCAACGCGTAGACTTGCAGTACCACAGTACTTAGTTCGTCGTTCTTCTTCGATGCGACGATTCGTTGCAGATACAGGTTGAGACATGTCTGCGTGACCGACTGCTTCTGCACTTCAAAGGGTCTCGCGGGCCGATGTTATGGTCCTACGAGATAAATGTGATTCGTCTACATATCCAACCAATAAAAGACATGAGAGGTTTTGTGCCGTTGAAGAAGATCACTTTCTGGCTGGAATTGACTGCCTATCGCAGCTAACAAAGAGCGGCTTGGCATTCGCGTGCACCCGTCGGCACTGGGGGTACAATCCCCCACTATCACAGCAAATTTAAGCATAGACACGAATATGGCAGCACATTGGAAGCTGGATCCGTCGCAAGAAACCGACGGCTCGTGGGTTTTGCAAAAAGTAAGAGCCATTTCTGACCACCGAGATTTTACTCCTGACAGGTTTCCGCCGCAGCAGAGGTGACTAAAACCGGCTATAGAAAAATGCCAACGTTACATTTTAAGTTGGCTTGACACAAGGAGCATGTTGATCATCTATGATGGCCAGAAGCGACGATTCAGTGCCTGTGCGGGGCGTCTTCCGCTCTGAGCGAGACGGGCGCAGATTGGTTGTTGGGGCTGTACTCGCATCAGCAGTCACTCGAGGCAGGAGCATTGATAAGAGCCGAAACTGGCAGAGAAGCTACCTATGTGTAGATTGCCAAGGGTGTTTTACCAAACCAAACCGTTACCTATGGGTGTCGCGGGTTTCTAACATAATAATTCTTAGTGGGGTGTATTTTGGCTGCTGCCTAGAGAGCCAAAAATAGCGATTCTGATTTACCCCGCCAGGTAACTAAAACTAACTAAGAGCACTAGCGACGCCCATAGGTAGCCGTTTTGAGCTTTTAAAGCACATACCAGCTTTAAAAGGGAAGAGACCGCCAGAAGGTGGTTTTACGCATAACAATAATATAATCTGAATATGAGTGAGGACGAATACGGGACGGGAATTCGACCGAGAATTGCGGATGGCCTTCCAAACGATGTGAATCTTCTAATACTTGACCACTTGTATCCCGTTTCTCTGATACGAGCGGCGTATGCGGGCTATCCTGTCCCGGCCGAGTGGGTGCGGCGCGCTCTACATACCTACCTCTGGAAAAGAGTGCTTGTGGTGCAGTTTGATTCGGTGAAAGCGAGGATAAGAGAAGGAGAGAACATTTTTCTGATCGGATACGGACTAGAGCGGCTCACCTGCGGCATCTTCGAGGAAGCCGATGAGGCTCCCACTATCAAACTTCTTCTCGGTTGGTTGCCTGGTGAAAGATTTCTCGAGCGCAACGTGCGAATGAAAGTCTATCGAGAATTTAGAAAAGCCACGAATCGATCTAGCGCTCTACTGGAATGCAATTCATAGAGGATTGGCGGTGGACGATTTATCGAAATACCTCAAAAAGGACACATCAGGTATCTGGACGAAGATTGCCTATCTATACAAAAAAGATTGGAAAATTGACACTGTGGAGGTGAAGATGAAAGTCATGCAGGCTGGAAAAGATCGGTATTGGTTTAAGTACGAATTCGAGATCCAGCATAAGAGGGCGTTTTGGGGATTAAACGAAAGACTACACATGACGTAAATCGACAGCGAAAGCATGCCAACTGATCCCAAAGAGCCACCGTTTTGAGTTGTACTTGTTATTAGCACTAATTTAAAGCACTAGCGACACCCGTGATGGTTTATATTGTACAGTGTTTTATCATTTTCTCGCCATAAACCGTAGCGGGCCTTCTATACCTTCTATGTAGTACGCTTCGTGACAGCAAAAATAGCCAGAGGAAACATGTGGCGACAGAGCTGCAAGGAGCCTTGTAAGAGCCAAATACCAGCTTCAGGCCGTGTCGGGCCCATCTGGTCGCGTCCTCCTGTGTTCGAAGATTCCGACCGGCACCGTCAGAATCGGGGCGCCCAGATATGTCGCGCAAAGGAATCCCCATGCTGTGCAACTATCATCTTACTCCCTCGCGGAAGCAATGTCCGCTTTACTGCATGCGGTAATACGACTGACGGAAACAATGTTTATATGTTAAAGGGTTTCTACATCCCTTCTCCTGTAAGCCCGTGCGAGTTCGTGCTCTGACGCAAGTCGGGAGTGGTCCTTCTCACCAAGAATGATCTCCTCGTCGTCAGGCCCAAATGGAACAACGCTGGTGATGCCCACTACTAGAGCAAGGACAGTCAATACGCATCTCACGCACAACCAACGTTTCGGCCATCCTTTGTTTCTTTTGGATACAGCTATCCTTGATAGTGTCTGGAACAAATACGCGACATTTCTGCCTGTGCATCAAAAGCAGAGACTCGAATGGCTATTGTAAGATTGCGTGGATCACATCGCTCAAACATTGTATACTAATACCGTAAAAACC